CCGGGGATCCCACCGTGCCCCGAACGACATTCTGGTTGTCCCCTCAGCGCGTCGTGGTTTAAACCCAGGTGGAAATTAAACACCGCGCTGCCGCTCCCTCATCCCCCCCTCCCCTCAGTGTTTACCATCCAGCTTCTAGGTTCAGATAAAAACAATTTGATAATAAAAAACAAAGTAAAATATAATAATAGTGGTAAATAATAATAAAAAGGGGCAGCTGGAGGGACAAGGTGAGCTGGACACAGCACATGGAATAATCTGGGTTGGCAAGGACCCACCAGGATCATCCAGCCCAGCTCCTGGCCCTGCCCAGGACACCCCAGCCCTTCCAGCTGAGGTGTCTGGGATGAGGTGGGAACCTTCCCCATGGGGGAAAAAATAGATCACGGAATCCCAGGTTGGAAAAGACCTCCAAGATCATCGAGTCCAACCTGTGACCCAACACCATCTTTGGCTTTCATAAAGCCCGGCGCTCCCGTGACTTTTCCTTGGGGATCAGTTTGCAAGAAGCTTTTTATTTTTAAAGGCGCTTACGCTGCATATTTATTTAACCAATACATTTTTAGTTGAATTTACCTATCTAACATCCCTTCCCATCCCTGGAAGTGTCCCAGCCGGGTCGGAGCAGCCTGGGTTAGCTGAACCCTGCCCATGGCAGAGGGGTGGGAGCGGATGAGCTTTAAGCTCCTTCCAACCCAAACCATCCCGCGATCCCGTGAAATATTTCCTGCCATATCCAAGCCGAGGTGCTCCCTGCTGACGTGTGGGCTGTGCCGTTGCAGAGGAACGCGGGCAGCAGCTCGGACGGGACGGAGGACTCCGATTTTTCCACGGATCCCGAGCACACGGACAGCTCGGAGAGCGACGGCACGTCCCGGCGATCCGCCCGCGTGACACGGTCCTCGGCCAGGCTCAGCCAGAGCTCCCAAGGTAAAGGCTCTGCTTCGAAAACCCAAAAGAAATTCAGCCTCCTTACCAAAAAATAAAGTCTCGGTGCACTCTGTGTTTAGAACCTAAACGTGTAGGATTTAAACATAAACAGGAATTTGTATTCATGTTTTTGGCTGTTATTAGCACAGCAATAAGCACCTTTACACGTACATATTGTACAGGTGGGGTTGTATAATCTAAAGGTGATGGAAACCAAAACATGAGTGTGCTCTGTTCAAAAGATAAAGCTGACAAATTGTTAAGGGAAGGAGGAGTCAAACCCCATAATTCCACTGCCAGCCAGCTCTGCCTCATTTTTCTGAGAACTCTAAAAATCTCCTTTCCATTCCTTTGGTGCTGGAGCCAAGCGAGGGAGAGAGGCTTTAGGGGTGAAAGTTGGGTTTATTTCCTTTATTTGTTTGTTTGGGGGGTTCTGTGCCCCAAGGGGAGATGTATTTTTGTGCTGTGCTGCCCCTGCTGTGCGATAGACACTACCAAATATTGGCAGTTATTTTGTGTGCTCCTACTTTGGCACCCAGGCTGTAAAAGGAGACATGGAATGAGTCCACCTCTTTTTTTTTTAGTGTTAGTGTGGGCAGTTTTTGGCTGTTAGTTCATGTGTTGCCATCTGGCATGACGGGGAGGAAATGACAGCAGATAAAAACTCATTTCCATTGCTCCTTGTAGACACTTTGATTGAAAAAAAAACATGGTTTGCAATTTTATTGCAGATAAGAAATACATGTGTGTGATCACGTATTAGATCTTAAAAAGGAGAGGGAAGGTGTGTGTGGAATGTCTGTGATATTCCTGGGTTAGGACAGCTTTATTTTAATGCAAAATAATTATTTTATATATATTCCCTGCCCACTGCAGGGGTTGGAACTGGGTGAGCTTTAAGGTCCCTTCCAACCCAAACCATTCCATGATTCTTATGAGCAGTGTAGGATCACAAACCCACACACAAATCCAAATCCCAGATCAGCTACAAATCCAAATCAAATCCAGATCCCAAATCCAGGTCCACACTGGAAGCTTTTCCTAAGGCTTATCTAAACACTGATAGTTCTTATCTAAACTAACGGATCTTCAGCTTTCCAAAGGGAGCTGCTTGATAATTACTGGTTAATTAGGTGATTAAGTCCTGAGAAAGCTGATGTAATTCCAGACTGCTCACTGTGGGTGAAATCCCAGAGATTTTATCTGGGAAGGCCAGGGCAGTGGTGAAAGTGGCTGGATAGAACTCTGCTCTTCCAGAGGTCTTCCTCCTCCGGGGCAGGCTGTGGGGCCAGGCAGGGTTTGGGGCCGGGCAGGGTTTGGGGCCGGGCAGGGTTTGCCTCTCTAGGCAGTCCCTGCTGGTTCTGGGGTGTAATTCCCCTTCCCCGGGCTCAGACTCCAGCCCGGTGCGGAACCCGGCGCCCTTCGGGGCGGAGGAGCCGGTGTACTCGACGCGCAGGGTGACCCGCAGCCAGCAGCAGCCCGCCCCCGTCACCCCCAAGAAGTACCCGCTGCGCCAGACCCGCTCCTCGGGCTCTGAGACCGAGCAGGTGGTGGATTTCTCAGACAGAGGTGCGTGCCGGGGACAGCTCTGGGAAAAACCCTCCTCCCAGGGTGTCCCCAGGGCCGGGGGTTGGAGCAGCTCTGGGCTCCGGGTGTGTCTTTCAAAGCCTTCTCCCTGATTTGTGACATCCATCCCCTTCGTTATCCGTGTCCTTCTCCAGACACTAAAAACGCAGCGGATCACGACGAGTCCCCCCCTCGCACTCCCACCGGGAACGCCCCTTCCTCGGAGTCGGACATCGACATCTCCAGCCCCAACGTGTCCCACGACGAGAGCATTGCCAAGGACATGTCCATGAAGGATTCCGGGAGCGACCTCTCCCACCGGCCCAAGCGCCGCCGCTTCCACGAGAGCTACAACTTCAACATGAAGTGTCCCACTCCTGGCTGTAACTCCTTAGGTAATTCCTGCCTGGACTGTCCCACTCCTGGCTGTAACTCCTTAGGTAATTCCTGCCTGGACTGTCCCACTCCTGGCTGTAACTCCTTAGGTAATTCCTGCCTGGACTGTCCCATTCCTGGCTGTAACTCCTTAGGTAATCCCAACACGAAATATCCCACTCCTGGTTTTGACTCTTCAGGTAATTCCAGCTCCAGGATCGATCTGTTGGGCTTTGCATTCCTGGCTGTGGTATTCCAAGTTGAGTTATACACCCTGAAAACCATGGAGTTAATCAGGAGCAGGAATATTAAGGAGAAGTGGGATATGAAGCCTAAATGCAGGTGTATCTGCAGGGCTATTCCTGGAGGTGTTTTCTGCCTAGGAGTGACGGGGAATGACAGGATAAGGACAAAATAGGAGGATGAGCCCAGGTGTGGGAGGAAAATGCAGAGTCTTGCAGGCAGGGAACTGATTTTTGCCAGAAATAGATTTCAGCCCCAAATTCCTGCTCCACCATACCTGGCTGCTTGCAGGGAGGGC